AGAGAGAGAGAATTTTTAATATTTATTTTTTAGTTCTCAGCGGACACAACATCTTTGTTGGTATGTGGTGCTGAGGATCGAACCCGGGCCGCATGCATGCCGGGCGAGCGCGCTACCGCTTGAGCCACATCCCCAGCCCCCCCTTATGATTTCTTTTTTGACCCATTTTTATTTTTCAAGAATGTGTTGCTTAATTTCCATATATTTGTAAGTTTTCCAAAATTCTTCCTGTTATTGCTTTCTAGTTTCGTAACATTAAGTTCAGAAATGATACTTTATATTAATTCAGACTTCTTAAATTTGTTGTGACTGTGGCCTAGTATGTGATCTATCCTATAGAATTTTCCTCAAGTGCTTCAGCAAATGTGTATTCTGGTATTGGGTAAAAAGTTCTATGTATATTAGATTCATTTGGCCTATGCTGTTGCTCAGTCCACTGTTTCCTTACTGATTTTCTGCCTGAATACCCATTGTTGAAAGTAGTGTTTTGAATTCTCTTAGTATTTCTTTCTTCACTTGTGATATTTGCTTTATATATTTAGGTACTCTTGTCAGTTGCATATTATATTTATAAGTGTTATATCTGATGATTTGATCACTATGAAAATGATTTGATCCTTTTATCATTACATAATTACCTTCTTTGATAGTTTTGCCTCAATATCTATTCTGTCTGATATAGGTTTAGCCACCTCTACTCTCTTTTGTTTACCTTTTATATCAAGTATATTTTCCCATCCCTTCACCTTTAGCTTAGATGTGTCCTTAAATATATAATTAGTCTCTTGGCTGTAGCATATACTTGGATATTTTCTTAAAAATCCATCCAGCTGCTCTACGTTTTTGATTGGGGAGTTTAGTTTGTTTATATTTAGTGTGAGTATTGATATTGAAAGACTTAATATAAAACTATAGTAATTTTGTTTATTTCTTTTTGTCTAATAGTGTGTTCCTCTTTATCTCTTGCTGTCTTCAGTTGTGTTTTGTTAAATTTTTTTATAGTGATATGCTTTAATTCCATTCTTTTTTGTGTGTCTTATGTATTAACTTCTTTCCCATTCTGTATATTACTTATGTCACAATTTGTATCTTTTTTTATTGTTTATCCATTACAACATTTTATCATTTCAGTTATTCTTAATATTTTTGCCTTTTATCTTTTATATTAAAATTAATAGTTATTTGCACATTATCATTATAGTATTATAGTATTCCATATATTCACCTTTATATACTGTGATTTATACTTTGTTATGCTTTCATATTTGTTTCAGCTTGAAAAACTCACTTTAACATTTATTGTGAGGTACATCAAATTGTGATGAAACTCCTTCAGTGTTTGTTTATCTGGGAAAGTCTATCTCCCATTTAAAAAAATTTTTTTTGAGTAAACATATTTTGTTTATTTAAACAAACTCTATAATCTAGTCTATCAATAGAAATCATACTGCAATCAATAATTTTGCACATATGACATGTTCAACATGCATAAGTATACCTGTAGGATAAGTATCCAACAGTAGAATTGGTTGATTAAAGAATAAATGCATTAGTTGACTGTGGTGGGACATGCCTGTAATCCCAGTGACTTGAGAGGCTGAGCAAGTTCAAGGCAACTTAGTGAGACCTTGTCTGAAAATAAGAAAATAGAAAGATGTAGCTCAGTGGTAAAGCCCCCTGCGTTCAATCCCTGTACCAAAAAAAAAAAAAGAATAAATGCATTTGTAGTCTGGATGAAGATTACCAAATTACCCTCCATAGAAATATCATTTTTCTCTTTCGCATGAGAAGTCTTATTCTTGACAACCTCACCAACAATGTTGCTGTTGTCCAACATCTGAAGTTTGCAAAAAAGAGTATCTCAATGTGTTTTCTTTTCTTTTCCCCTACTTCCCTCTTTCTTTGTTTCCTACCTTCCTTCTTTCCTTCTTCCCTCCCTCCTTCCCTCCCTCAGTAGTGGAGACTGAACCAAGGGGTGCTTTACCACTCAGCTACAGCCCCAGCCCTTATTATTTATTTATTTACTTAATTATCTCTGTGTTTATTTATTTATTTTTGAGACAGTGTCTTGCTATGTTACCCAGGCTGGCCTCAAACTTATGATCCTCCTATCATAGCTTTCTAGTTCTTTGGGACTACAGGTTTGTGACACCGTACCCAACTGGAGAGATAGCAGATTTTTTGCAGTGCATCTTTCAGGTTTGTGGGGCAATGTCCTTGATCTCTAAATGCTCTGTACCCAGACACATCTCGGGCCTCCCTAAAATGCAAGTTCCTTTAATTCCCTATCCTTCCTCTATTCTCACGGAGGGACCACTCTGGACGGTGCTTCTGGCCTGGTTTCGGCAGTGACTGCTGCTGGGGATTTCTTCCTTATTTTATTATATCTAACCTCCTGAGTCTCCGACCTGCTTTGAATGTCCAGTTTGAAATTCTAGTAAAGTCCCCCCACTTTTTTGTTCACCTAACTCGTTGAGAAGCTGTCTATTTGCTTTCTTGGTTTCACTCCACAGAGCAGCCAGGAAAGCGACCTTCTCTATTCTACCATCTGAAAACCTCTGAAGTTAACCTTCTTTTTACATGTTAAAATGAAATACACGTATTTCTTTGTCTATGCACCATTTATTTTTGTCTTTTTCCCATTCCTCTCTTACAATGTTGGTCTTTTCTTTATTTCTATGTATTCTTTTTTTTAATTTTTTTAATTTAAAATTTTTTTTTTATTGTTGGTTTTTCAAAACATTACATAGTTCTTGATATATCATTTTATTTCTATGTATTCTATGTTAGAGAAATTTACTCTTTGTCTATATGAGTTGCAACTATTTCCTCAGTTTGCCTTTTATCTTTTGTTGCGCTGTGTGTGTGTGTGTGTGTGTGTGTGTGTGTGTGTGGTGTTGGGGATTTAACCCAGGGCTTTATGAATTCTAGGCAAGTGCTCTACCACTGAGCTCTATCTCCACCCCCTATATATTTTCGTAGTTGGTTCATTCTTTCTCTCTCTTTTTTTTTTTTTTGGTACTGGGAATATAATAACTTAGGGGCACTTAACCACAGATCCACATCCCTGGCTCATTTTTTTTTTTTTTTTTTAAGAGACAGAGTCTCACTGAGCTGTTTGTGGCCTTGTTAAGTTGCTGAGGCTAGCTTTGAATTTGTGATCCTCCCCTGCCTCAGCCTCTCAATCCATTGGGATTACAGACATATGCCACTGTGCTCTGCTTGAATCACTCTTTTTTTTTTAATTTTAATATTTATTTTTTAGTATTTGGCGGATACAACATCTTTGTTTGTACGTGGTGCTGAGGATCGAACCCGGGCCGCACGCATGCCAGGCGAGCGCGCTACCGCTTGAGCCACATCCCCAGCCCGCTTGGATCACTCTTAAGAGCTACTACTTATCTTTTACTGCAGGTCCTGGCCTTCTCTGATATGGTAAATCCCAAATGTATCCAGATTATAATTTGCCACAAGATAACATGTCATTCAGTTGGTTACATCCATAGTCTAGAGTGCGAGGGCCACATTCCCCATGATTTTGAGGACATCCCTCCAAAAATGAGCACATGCTTCCTGATTTCATTAATGTATTCAGTCAAGATATGGGCCAGTTTGTCGTGTTCAACTTGCATTTCAGGATGAATCTGTCCACTAATGCCATAAACCCTATCACTTGGACACCTAGGAAGGCACATTGGACTGGCTCCATTCCCTGGGCTGCTGCTGCTTCTTTTTTTTTAAGAGAGAGAGAGAGAGAATTTTTTTAATATTTATTTTTTAGTTTTCGTTGGACACAACATCTTTATTTTTTTATTTTTATGTGCTGCTGAGGATCCATCCCAGCGCTCCGTGCATGCCACGCGAGCACCCTACCACTTGAGCCACATCTCCAGCCCTCCCTGGGCTTCTTAAAAACAAGTAGGTTGAGCAGGCATAGTGGTGCACACCTATAATCCCAGCGGATTGGGAGGCTGAGGCAGGAAGATGGTGAGTTCAAAGCTAGCCTCAGCAATTTATTCAGGTCCTAAATTTAATCCCCAGTACTAAACAAAGAAACAAACAAACAAAAACAAGAAGATTCACAAGCAGCCACCATCCAGACTTTCATGAACCACAGATGTGGTGTTTGTCAGTTGCCATGGTCACTGATATCTTTATTTATTTATTTAAAATTGCCGGGGCATGGAGGTGTGTTCCCGGGATTGAACTGTGGGGCACTCTACCACTGAGCCACATTTTATATTTTATTTATAGACAGGGCCTCACTGTGTTGCTGAGTGCCTCGCCATTGCTGAGGCTGGCTTTGAACTCACAATCCTCCCTTCTCAGCCTCCAGAGCCACTGGATTACAGGTGTATGCCACTGAGCACAGCTCTCTTTTATATTTTCCAGATATAGTGTTCTTGTTTTATAATTTTTTCTTTTAAAGCTTTGTGTATGTCATCCCATCCCCTTGAGGTTTCCAGATGTCTGCTGAGTAAAACTCTCATGCTTGCTCCTTTGTAAGTAATGAGTTGCTTTTCTCTCACTGTCCTCAAAATTCTTTGTCTTTTTTTTTTTTTTTTGGTGGTTCCAGGACAACTATACTGCCTATATTGTTTTGCTTGATATTCCATAAACTCCTTAGGGTTTGTTCACTCCTGTCTTTTTGCTTCTTCTTGCTCCTCTGACTGGATAATTTTACTGGAAGCTTTATATTGAATTTTTCAGTTTAATTAAAATATACGTCATTTCAAGAATATTTGTTTGATTCTTCCTCCTTCGACCCCACTGGGAATTGAACCCAGGGGTGTTTTACTACTGAGTTACATCTCCAGCCATTATAGTTTTTGATTTTAAGGCAGGGTCTTGCCCCAGCTAACTTGCAATCTCCTCCCTCAGCCTCCCAAACAGCTGGGATTATAGGCATGTGCCACCATGCCCAGCTTTCTGATTCCTTTTAGGTTTCTATACTTTTATTAAACTTTTCATTTTATTCATGTATTGTTTTTTAAAAAGATTTCATTTCTCTATGTTCTCTTTTACCTCAATTAGCTTCTTTTAGATGATTATTTTGAATTCTTCTCCAGGCAATTATTTACCTTCATATCTTGAAGATCAGTTACTGAAGACTTATTTTGTGTATTTGATAGTGTCTTATTTCGATGATGATGATGATGATGATTTTGTGGTACTAGGGATTGAACCTAGGATCTCATGCTTGCTAGAAATGTGGTCTACTATCATCAGCCCGCTTTATATTTTTAGTTTTGAGATAGGGTCTCACTAAGTTTCCAATGCTCGCTTCAAACTTGCTATCCTCCTGCCTCAGCCTCCTTATTTCCTAATTGTTTTTTGTTTCTTTTAGCTTTGCATTGGTATTTACCCTTTGGTAGAAGCAACCACTCCTTCCAATTTTTGCAGATTTTCTTTGGCAGGGAAAATCACCCTCAGTCAGCCTTGTTAGCATTTCTGGGTATCTCTCAAAATTTTGCTATAGGTGTTCATGCTTCACACTTCTCCATCTCTTCTGTTGGAGAAGTCTCAGGTTTCTATGTCTTTTGTCAACCCCACAAAATTATTTTAGGGGACAGTTGCCTGCTCCTTTATCCTAGGTCAGTACACTCTGATGAGAGAATGATGGTATAGCTTCCCTTTCTTTCCATTCTCACTCATGGAGAAATTTCCGAATTGTGCACTTTCTCTCAATCCTACTGAGCCAAACTGGGTTCTAGTAGTGTTACCAGCTGTTATGGTTCATGCCGTTTGCTGAAAGCCACCCTAGCCTCTGGGGATCCTTGCCATTAGCTGAATGCCATGGTTTGCTGTCAACTCAGAGTCACACTGATTGTTGAGAGATGTACTAGCTGTTAAGATCCGTTCTGCCTGCTGAGAAGTGTGCTATCTTCTGGGATGTTTGCCAGCTATTAGGAGCCATGCTGTCCAATAAGATCAGTGACAGCTTCTGAGACCCACATTAGCTGCAGAGATAAAGATCAGTTGCCAAGCTCTGCACTGTCAGCTGAAAACTATGCTGACTCCTGAGATCCACACCATTCATCATCTGAAATCCCTGTCATTTGACAAGAGCCATACTGTTTGCTGAGAGCCACCACCCTTCATGCTTTGCTCTTAGCAGCCTCCAGAACACTCCAGCTATGATGAGAACCCTTAACACTCTGAGTGAGGTAAGACTGAAACAGATCCTTTGGATAGAGCTCCAAAAGGCTGGGGATAATTGATAAACACTTTGATTTTTCTTTCCCCCATGGATAATTTGCAGCCAAAGTAGTTCTCTTTCTGTGTGGAGGTGTTTGTTCCAGTGTGAGGAACTGGTTGATTTGGATAAAGTGAAACTGTTCCTACAATCCATGTAAGAGGATATGTTCTGGGTCTTTGTTTTCTCTAGTGTGCTGAGATTGCTTATCTGGATTCTAGAATTCTTATAAAAGTATGTTGGTCCATATATGGTGGTTAAGTTGATACCTCTGTGGGAACATGAAGGCTGGGACTTCCTATTCCATCCATCTTGCTGATGTTACTCTTTCCTTTTTTTTCATGGTTGAATTTTTTTTTTAAAGTAAAACAAATAAAAAGTCAATACTGTCTTGTCTACTATGTGTACATTCTTAAATTGTAATTATTTTTATTATAATTATTAATGCATATTAATTGGAGAAATTAAGGGGTTTCACTGTGAAATTTCCTTACATGTAAATATCATGCTTTGATTGTGTCCAACCCCTCTTCTGCCCTCTCTTCCTCTTCACTCTTTCTTCCCAATCTCTTGTTTCTTTCCTTTTCCCTAATAATACCTATTTGATTTCTAGCTCATATTTTTTTCTTTATTTCATTCTTTTGTTTTTCTACATATAATAGAAAACATGCAATATTAGTCTTTCTGTAGCTAGGCTAACGTGATGACCTCAAATTCCATTAATTTTCCTAGTAGTATCATCATTTCATTCTTCTTTATGACTATATAAAATTCCATTGTGTATAGATAGTACATTTTCCTTTTTATCTATTCTTGTGGTTGTACACACCTAGGCTGATTCCATATCTTTGCTTTTGTGAATAGGGTCATGATAAATGCGGGTATACAGATATGTCTTTTGTATGCTGACATATTTTCCTTCAGATAAATACCAGAAGTGGTATAGCTGGATGATATGGTCATTCTATTTTTATTTTATTTTTATTTTTGAGGAACCTCCACGCTGTTTTCCAACGTGGCTTACATTTGGAAAATGTAAGTGTATGTAACTTACATTTCTACCAATCTTTTTTTTTAATATATTTTTAGTTTTGGATGGACATAATACTTTTATTTATTCATTTGTAGTGCTGGGAATCTAACCCAGTACCTCACACGTGGTAATCAAGTGCTCTACCACTGAACTGTAACCTCAGCACCCCCCTCCCCACAAATCTTTATTAGATTCATTCCTATGTATTTTCTCTACATCTCACCATCATTTTTTGATCATTTATTTATTTAGATAACAGCCATTCTGACCATGGTGAGATAGAATCCTAGTGTAGTTTTGATTTGCATTTCTTTGATGGCTGGCGATATTGAGCATTTTTTCATTTAATAATTGGCCATCTGTGCTTTGGCTTTACAGATGTGTCTGTTGAGAAATGTGTTTACTTCATTTGCCCATTAGTTGATTTTTTGTTTGTTTGTTTGTTTGTTTGTTTGTTTTAGGTGCTAGGGAGTGAACCCAGGCCTTGCATATGATGGTAGGCAAATGCTCTACCACTGAGGTACATCTCAGCCCTAGTTTTTTGAGTTCTTTATGTATCCTGCATATTACTCCTCTGTCAGAAGTGTGACTGGCAAAGATTTTCTTCCATTTTATAGGCTCTCTGTTTACATCCTTGTTTCCTTTGCTGTGCAGAAGTTATTTAATTTGATGCAATCCCATTCATTAATTCTTGGCTTTATTTCCTGAGTGTCAGGAAGGTTACTAAGGAAGTTGATGCGTGAGCCTATATGTCAGAGTGTTGATCCTATATTTTCTACTACCATTTGCAGAGTTTCTGGATAATTCTTAGGTCTTTACACCATTTTGAGATGACTTTGTACAGGGTGAGAGATGAGGATGTAGTTTCATCCTTCTACATATGGTTATCCAATTTTCTTAGTACCATTTATTTAAAAGGCTATCATTTATCCCACTTTATTTTTTTGGCACCTTTGTCAAGGATCTCATGCTTGTGTCTGTATACCTTTGTCTCTGTGTCTTCTGTTGGACCATTTGTCCATTTTTATGCCAGTGTCACACTGTTTTCATTACCATAGCTCTGAATTATAATTTGAAGTTGTTGAATTCACAATGCTTCCGGCACTGCTCATATTGCTCCAAGTTACTTTGGATAATCTGGTCCTTGTACTCTTCTATGTGAATTTTAGAACTGTTTTCACAGTCTTTGAAGAATGCCATTGGTAT